CTTCCCGTCTCCGTCCCTCGCCAGAATCCGTCCCATCCCAAGTTTTCTTTTTCCTATATTCCTTCCAACGCAGAAAGATGAAACCCGCCGCCGACAATGAAAGAAAAACGGAGAATTTCAGCCTAATAATGCAGCTTTGCTCGCTCCAAATCGTTGAAACTGGACCGGCGTAATGCATGTATCTCATCTAGCGGGGGTTGTGTGTATGGGGAATCGTTGGGAATAAGAATAAGGGGGGAAACCCGAGGTATAGTAGTAGTAGTGTGAGTCGTACAGAGTTCAAGAAAAAAAGGGAACCAAAAACACAAGATAATAAAAACAGTGTAATCCATAAAACGCCTTGCGCTATGCAGCCAGAACACAAGTTTTGCCAAACGGGTGGGTTTAGAGCCAAGGTATGGACAGTTGAAGGGGTAGCCTGAGTGCTGATCATGCGGAGAGTGTGCATGGCATCAGCTCAGCTTTAGCAAGGTTGCTGGGTGCAAGCCAAAAAAGATTTGACATGGGATGAAAGCCAAAGTAGTGATCATTCAAGGGGTTCGCGGGCGCTTCCAGTAATATTGCTAACAAGCCAATCGTGTTAGTTGCCATATCTTTCGACTTCTTTTCGGCTGATCGTACCTTGTGCTGCTTTCTGCAGGCTCTCAGACTGGGCTTCCGAAGGCCGTCCGTGACAGCGAAGCGACGCTGCTCGTCGTCGTCGGCCTCGGGAACGTAGTAGTACTCGCTCTCGAGGGGCTTGCCGGCGGCATCCTTGCCCTGGCGGCGGATGATGCCGATGCACGCCGTGTTCTCCAGTAGGCTTCGCAATTGTTCCTTGAGCAGACCCTTCTTCTGCTCGGAGGGGAGGTTGTTCATGATGGTCGACAGAGGGTTGGACGACAGGCGGGAGAAGGCGAGCTGGTTGACGACGTGGTTGCGCACGGCAGGGTTCTCGTAGGGAGGCTCCTTGACTTCCTCCTCTTCCTCCTTGATGACCGGCGACTTGGGCGGTGCCGAGATGGGGCTGGAGGGGTTGGAGTCATCCCGGATAGGAGGCAGCTGTGAGTGTTTGGAAGACGGGTACTTGGGTGCAGTTGCCAAGACAGAGGCCAGGCGGTTGGAAATGTCAGCTCCAAAGGGACCAAAGGAGTGGACGATGGGGTCGTTTTCCTCATCCGGATCGTTCTCGTCTTCGGGCTCGCTGAGTTCGGACGAGAAAGAGTTGGTCACTTCGGTAGCAAAGCTCTGGCCGACATTGACACCCGAATCAGTAAGCTTGGGGAGCTCAGGCTCGTCCGCGCTGGAGTCCTCGTAGATGTGGACCTCTCCATCATCAGTGGGAAGAAGAGCTTGCAGGCGCTGGGAGCTGGTCATGTGCGCCGGCGTCGGAGAGTCCGGAGACTCGATGCGCGATGTACGGCGCAGGGGACTTGACTGGAGCAGGTTGGCGGCGGCGGCGGCGGCACGGGCATTGGGCCGGGGCGGGGAGTCGTCCCACTGGGACTCGGGGCTTCCCAGCCGGTCACGTTGGTCCCGCTTCGGCCATTGGATCATAACACGCGCATCCTGGACGTCAAGCATAATTTCGGTACCCTCCGTCTCGGACGTGAACGAGTCGCCCTTGAGCAGCTCCCACGTGCGGCCCTGGCAGTGCAGCTTCAGTCCGTTCCAGCCATTGCACAGAATCTCAATCTTATTCGGCTCCAGTGCCGAGGGAGCAGGCACGAACCGCGCCTTGACGTGCACACGGGACACGAGACGGTTGGCGGAGAGTTGGTAATGGGATGAGTTGCTAGAACGGCCCATGAGCAGGGTCTCGCCGTTGTCGTTCAATTCAATGGAGGCGACGGCACCGAGGGGCGTGCGTTCGGAGGCGGAGGAGAGGGCTCGCGAGAGTGCGCCGGGGCGCTGGTGGACGCGGGGTGGGGAAGACGAAAGGATGCCGGTGCTTGAAGTCGGAATTGGCGTGGGATACTTGAGGTAGGCGCTGTTTCCCCCGACGGAACCAGGACGAGCTTGACGCTTGGAAGGTCGAGGAAAGCCCGGAGAGGAAGACAGAGGTTCGAATGCCGGCAGAAGGCTCGGAGCAGGACGCTTGGTACCGGCCATGGGGAGGGTAGGCTCCGGGTTCTTGGATTGAGGCGACGAGTCCATCATTGTTGCGGCGACGACGGCATGCCCTGCCAAAAGTGTGACTGCCCCAAGTTATGTGTGGTCGTGTTTCTTGTTCCTGTGCCTCTTGATGATTTTTTTTTCTCTTCAGTATATTTCTTCCGCGTGGTGAGCAGTCGCGTTTTGGTGGGCGCGGTTTCGGTCCCCAATATCAGACGTGGATTTTGGCGTAGAGTGGAATCGCGTGTAAGTGGTTTCGTGGTGGGGGACAGGGCCGACGGGCTGGTAGGTAGGTTGTGAAGAGTGGAAGTGATAATGGATATACAGGACGAAGGTGAAAAGACGAGAGACGAGTTTTCCACACAAAATAATTCCCTGATGCAAAAACTGTCAAAGTGGTTGCAGGTCTGGTGGAAGGAGGCCCAGAGTGTGAGTGACCAGGAGCGTGGTGGTGTCTGGACGGGGACGGGACCTTTTTGATGGCCCCCTTCCGTTAGCATGGCAGGAGCGAAGCGTGTTCTTGCGCGTTGGCGTTGATCGCGTCCCCCGCGTCCAGACGTTGTGCTGTGCAAGGAATTGTGCTTGCCGGTGGAGCACGCACACCACTGTATCCGTCCCCGACCGCTGTACCGGGCACTCGCTGTCTCCTAGCGGTCCCGATCACTGACATGCCAACAGCTACAGCGCACTTAGCGCACCGGCGGAGCCTCGCAAGCGCTAAAGATGACGCTTGGGGTGTCTTCAGGCCACGACCCCGGCCGACGCGGGCCGCTATCTGAGCTTTAATGGGTGTTTCAATCTTTAATTGTCCCGTTGACGGCAGTCTGCATCTTCAACTCGGGTGCAAGCTGCCTGTTTGCTTGCTTCACTTGCATCTTCACTCTTCGATATTCTGAGTATTCTGGAATCTACTCTATAGACCGCCTTTTGCAAACCAGCCATCTTGTCTGCAAAATATCGCAGCCTCTGACCTCACAATGGACACAATTGCCCCTCATCCACGTCGAGTCTGCCCGTTCCAGCCTCCTCCCGAAGCCGAAGCGCGTCTCCACCAAAGAGGAAAAAAAAAAAAAAACTACGACTCACGTCCACTTCCGGTGCGCGTCTCTGGCCAAGCACCGGGCAGTGGTCAGCAGCACCTCATCCATCCATTCATTTAATCCTCTTACGGGGGCAGCCCAACGGCGCAGAACGCTGAAGAACGTACCTTTGGCACTTTAGCGCCGACAGACACCCACGGCCCCAGCCCACACGTCAACCGTCCCTCCAATGGCTGACACTATGCAACCCTGGCAATCCAAAGCCTGGCCGGACGAGTAAGTACTGCGTAGAGCGTGTCGACACTGATAGAGAGCGAGACTGCGAGAGACACAGGCTTGCAAATTACATGCTATGTAGTTCGTACATTAGCACTGCATAGCTCTGTATTAGAGCACCATGCATTCCCACCTGCCCTCTTCCTTGATATTTCACCATCCCTGTGGCTCCCTCGCTTCCAGCATTTGCGCCGATGCTCCTCCTGTTGGTCACATGGATCGTGGAAACCACGCCAACTCATTGGTTCTCTTTGGCAGCTTCACCTGCCTCCATTTCCCTTTTCTGCCACAAGCATGTGCTGCCCGTCCGTCTTTGTGAGACTTGGCCCGCTCAGAGACTGGGTTGCGCATACACGAGCCTCAAAGTGCCCTCATTCACGGCTCGCATACATAAAATACGCTGGAAGTGAAGGGGTTGAAACGAGGCATCGCGGACGTGTTGGCTCGCGTAAAAGTGGTCTCAACCCAGGTACCCTGTCTATCCAAGTCATGATATACATACCATACCCGTCGCCCGCTCTACTACCACAATGATCCCTTTTCCCCTTATCTCGAAGCCAGCTGTCGTATGCTTTAGCAATGTGTACTTATTTGTTTTAGCTCTGTGCGCGATGAGGGCTGACAGCTGGCTTCGGGAAATGAGCGTCAGGAGGCAGACAGCCGAGCCGTGCTGAGCCCGCCCCCCGAACCGTCAATCATCGCCGCGTCTCGGCGTCCACCCCGCATCGCTAACGCAAGTCGCGCTCCTGCTCACACGACCCGCTGAGGCTTTGACAGGTTTGAAATGATCCCGGCGTTCCCAATTGGACTGAGAAAGCAACCCCCGTTGGCCGCGCGTGTGCAAAGTTCTTGCGTGCCATTACTGCGTCGTAGTCCCACTGCTCTCGTACGCATGCTTCCAGGCAGGCTTTCCAAGGGCCCGTTTTCAGAGTGAGACAGAACCCGTGTATCAAGACCCATTGGCTCTGGACACCCTTCCGTGGACCACGGTAACGTTTAATCGGCAACCGGAGGGGCTTTTGCACGAATTACCAACGCTCTGGGTTATCCGTAGAGGGGCCCCGACTGAATGCGATGCTTGGCCGCTCAGCCCTAAAGTTGAATGGCTATATGCACTCAGGATTCAAGACGCGATGTCAAAAGCCAATAGACGCGTAAAGCTATGGTCAGCTTGCAGATGCACAACGCGGCGCAAAATTCCTCTTCCACAACCACGAATGTGTTCGTGAGGCGTCTTGAAAACTTTTCGATCTCTCTACCTTTGCAACGAAACAAGACATTAGTTGGCCGTCGCATGGAATGGTCGGGTTTCCCCCATTGAGATGTTCACCGGCCCTTCACCTCGGTAACTCGGTGAACGACAACTTTATCGGATCCACTCACTGATAAGCTCAAACTTATCGATAACTGGATCTGGCCCGTGCACATCGGCTCCGGCAGTCCGCATTCGCCGACAATTCATGATCCCTGTCAAAAAAATTTGGACGACCGCGAAAAAACTCCCCGCCAACTCTGCAGTGTAGGCGACGTTCTGCATCCCCATCCTCTCCAGCTAGAACAAACAGACGTTCCACCACAACATCTGTAGTCATGGCCCCCTCAAAGACCTCCAAGGCCGTCGCCGTCGCATCGAAAGATGTCGCGCCCGCAATTGACCCCGAGCAGGTGAGAACTTACACCCCAATGCGCCACTGACAAAGCCCGTTCCGTTCTCTAATCGCAGAAAACAAAACACAGACCCTGAAGGCATCCAAGGCGCTGCTCGCCCACATCAAGAAGGCCGCGGCCTCCAAGACCGAGGAGTCCGGCAAGAAGAACCTCCTCGCCGACCCCGAAGACGACCTCGCCAGCTCCCCCGTCTGGCTGACCCTCACCACGAAGCGCCACATCGCCGACACCAACCGCCTCAAGCCCGGCAAGATCGTCCTCCCGCACCCGCTCAACACGGACGAGGAGTCCACGATATGCCTCATCACCGCCGACCCCCAGCGCGCCTACAAGAACATCATCGCCTCCGACGACTTCCCCGAGGCGCTGCGCAAGCGCATCACCCGCGTCGTCGACGTCGGCAAGCTCAAGGCCAAGTGGAAGCAGTACGAGGCCCAGCGCAAGCTCTACGCCGAGCACGACATCTTCCTCGCCGACGACCGCATCATCAACCGCCTGCCCAAGGCCCTCGGCAAGACCTTCTACAAGAGCACCACTAAGCGCCCCATCCCCGTCGTGCTCTCCCCCAAGCCCACCCGCATCGACGGCAAGCGCCAGAAGCCCGCCGAGAAGACCCAGGGCTCCGTCCGCGCCGGCACGCCCCAGGACATTGCCGCCGAGATCGAGAAGGCCATCGGCTGCGCGCTCGTCAGCCTGACGCCCTCGACCAACACGGCCATCCGCGTGGGCTACGCCGGCTTCACTGCCGCGCAGATCGCCGAGAACGTCGAGGCCGTCGTCAAGGCGCTCGTCGAGAAGTGGGTGCCGCAGAAGTGGGCCAATGTCAAGAGCATTTACGTCAAGGGCCAGGAGACGGCCGCGCTGCCCATCTGGCTGACGGACGAGCTCTGGCTCGAGGAGAAGGACATCGTCGCCGACGGCAGCGAGGAGGCCAAGGCCATTGCGGAGAAGGCCAACATTGGCAAGAAGCGCAAGTCGATCGAGGCCGCCCCCGAGGGAGAGGAGGAGGAGGAGAAGGAGACCAAGCCGACGACCAAGAAGGCCAAGAAGGCCGCCGCGCCCAAGGCCCTGCCCGAGGGCGACGACGCGAAGCTCGACAAGAAGATTGCCGTGGCGCAGAAGGAGAAGTTGAGGAAGCAGAAGGCCAAGGCCAAGGCTGCTCTGGACAACTAAGGACGTGTCGCCATTTACATAAAAACGGAAAAGAGTCCACAAAAGGGGAGGGATTCCTGCGGGATTATACCATGCATGGTTCGAGGCGTACGGCGTTGGTTCAGACAAAATTAACCAGAGAGAACTTGTGTGTCAAGGGATTTATCAATCAGACCTAGTGTACAATTTGCCCCTTTTAACCAATACTCGCGCGCCATTAAACTATCCCATTAATCGTACTGTGTTACCAATTACAACTCCTCAGAGACGAAGCTAGCCTTCTCGGAGCTGAAGCTCTTCTTGAAGGGTCCGAAGAACTCGGAAATGGTCTTGTTCAGGTTCTTCTGCGTCAGCTGCATGTGATCACCGGGCACCTGGCGAAAGCGGAGGGCTCCCTTGCGGTCAAGCTCCCTCAGGCCGATCCAGTCCTCCTTGTAAATCTGGCGGGCGCGCAGCGGCAGGCTCTCCGTGCCGTTGACCTCCTCGAACCAGGCGGTCTCCTTGGGGATGACGGTGGTGTCCTCCTCGAACATGACCATGACGAAGTTGGACAGACCGGCGAGGTTCTTCTTGTACTGGACGTTCTTGAGCTCGCGCTCGTTGTTGATGTCGGCGAGGAAGTTGGACGACTCGAGGTACTTCTCGTACTGGTCGGGGGCCGGGTCACGGTAGTACTGGGCGGGGACGAGGCGGTTCTGCACGAAGCTCGACCAAGTGTTGAAGCGCAAGAGGGCCATAGCGCCCTTGCACAGGAAGTCCGAGTCGCCGCAGGCCTTGAACTCGACGATGCCGTTGTGCTGGCTGCCGTAGGTCACGAGACTGCGGACGGGGGGCTTGTTGCAGCGCTCAACGTAGCCGCGGAGGAACTGACCGCCCTGGCTGAAGCCGATGGCGTCGACGGCCGGGGCGGTGGAGAGGATCGGGTGCGCGGCGAGCTCCTCGCAGACCTGCTCCAGCTGGGTGGTGACGTTGCCGAAGAAGGTGGCGGACCGGTCGCTGCTGGCGTCGGTGCCGACCTTGATGTTGTAGACGAAGGTGCCCGGATTGATTGCCTCCGCGAGCTCGCCGACCTGCTTGATGCCGTCGCCGTCGTAGGAGTCGCCGAGACCGTGCCAGATGATGAGAGGAATGGGGTGGTCAGGGTCGTCGTTATTGTCGTCCGAGAGCGGTCTCTGGACGGCTGCGGAGTATGCGACAGCGGCAAGGGAGCCGGCCGTGAGAAGCCTGGTGATGGAAAGGGACTTCATTTTGATGGCTCTGCTATATGGGAATGTTTGTGATCAGTGCTAGGTTAAGAATCCAACAATCTGGTGTTGGTTGAAGCAATGGTGTTCCAGGTGCCTTTGCCAAAGGGAAGGTTGAACTGTGGCGAGGGAAGCTGACGACACGGCCAAGCAGGTTGCCTGTGACATTGGGGGAGCTCCCTCTGCTCCTCAGTTATCGCCCGGCCTAATCACTGGAGCTTCCCATTGGCCACGGACAGCGCCAAAGGTCTTGGAGATGATCCGAAAGGCCCGTCGCTCTTGGTCCTGCAGAATCTGGCCCGTGCACTGCCCAAGTCACGGGATTTTCTCGCTTAAAAGCGTTAGCGTCTCAGAGCTCCTACCCTAGTACTTCTGGAGCTTTCTTTAGCTGTGCTATCCTCTTCTCTCCTCGACCTCCAGTCAGACATCCGTCAAAGTCTTGGTTCGAATCCTCCGGCCGTGGCGGGATCTTCAAGCGCTGGCCTACTGCGAAGCTAGCCCAGCTCCCGGACGGGTGTTGACGACGAAGCTGACAATGACGGCGACGACTCGAGGGGACTCCATGTTCGACAAGCCCATGCTCCGGCGGGTAGATCCCACGTTGCAGAGGTTCCCTGCCGTCTGAAACGCTTCTCAGGGCACCTCCAAGATGGTCCCCTGTTTCAAACGGCGCTGACGACTGCTGGCACAGCTGGCACACGCCGAGGGTTGCATGACGAGGGAATGCGAGGCGGGCTGTGATGCGCACTCGTGGCTGGACAACTCTCTGACACTGATCGGCCGATCTTTGTGGGAAGGGCTTGGCTCGGACTGCGGACAGCGCATGTTCGGTCGGTTGTCACGGTGTCTTTTTATGGTTGTGGCAGTGGCAGCGGTTCGCCCATAAGTATGGACGAGGCGCCGCTGCCGTGGACGACATGAAACACCACCTCAGTTCGCCATCGAAGTTTTCCATCTCTCTGCAAAGTTGTTAGAAGAGTCTGATCTTCTTGTTTCCATCGTTCCTGCATTTGTTTGTTCTCTGCAGTCGTTTCCCCCCATCTCTCGCACGTTTTTCCTGCAGCCTTCCGACGACAGTCAAAATGCAGTTCTCCAAGGTTCTCTACGTCCTCTTCCCCGTGGCCGTCCTTGCGGCGCCGCTGCAGACGTTCAACATTCCGACCATGGACCCGAACACCGTTGCCCCCGAGGTCCCGGCCATCGGAAAACGCGTCCCTCAGGCGGAGGACACTTGCACCGATGAGTAGAAGGCTTTGGGAATGGGTGCCGGGCAGTGAGTGCGAGCAGTGTCGGAGAGTGATGTTGCCATATGATGGTCTCGAAGATGTTGCTGGTATTGCCTGGTGCTATGGACTTGATTGTCAACATTCAAAAGGTATGTTTGGTTCTTATTTATCTTCCCTTGCCCTCCCTGCCTCATCATGATGACTTGCATCCACTCAACAATGTTTCAAGACGGGATTGAGTATTCACCATGAAACTACGCAACACTCTGAGATGTCCTCTCAATACTTCATTGTCTTTGGACGCTTGTCTTAGCACAATGCTAACTCTACTTACAGATATCTGGTTGACATGACGACATGCCTCGGCCTATGAGAGCTACTGTCTGGACAGAGAGCTCACGTCCCAATCGAGTGAGGCTCAACAGTCTCCGCGTGAAGCCCTCGCCGAGCATTGTCTCATGAGGCAGCGAGGCACCTCTCCCTCTTTGTGGTCTTTAGCGAACAGTTGGATAAGGAAAGAGCAATGGCTGGAATGAAACCTTTGTACCTACTTTCGGAGCCCTCGTTGCTCCCAGGAAAAAAATAGACTCAGACACAAACATCTTCACCTCGATCTTGTTGTTGTTCTTTGCCCTCATCATACAAAACGACTTTCGACTGGTCTATTGTAGACTTGGTCTACTGTGTTCGAATCGTTGCAGTGTTCTCTTGCTTTCGCTTGCTCGACATTTCTTATTCGAATCGACGCGCAGCTCTATCGCGAACTCCTCAGCTGCTTCGCCGACTTGCGATTGCGCCCAGCTCGCCACGCCACGCCTTAGATGACTTGTCAAGATTGCTTCCTCGTCGAGGTGTAGCCAAGGTAAGCTGATCCGAAATGAGCGGGCGCCATTGGATTTTTCTCCTGCCTGTGTTTTACTCCTGATACTCGGTGTCGATGCTGCTGGCGAGAGGTTCTTCGGAGCTTCGCAGAACCCTCGTTTTGGACGCTCGCGATGGCTTCACTTTTTGAGCGGCGCGCAGTCAAGAACTCTCCTCCATTCCCGATCACTGTCCTGTGTTATCAGCGGCGTCCTTCGTTTTCTCTGCTTCGTTATGTGGGCGATTCATGTTACGCGTTCCCCATGTTTCTGCTTGTACTTTTATTCTCTATGATTTTTTTTTTCCTTCAGATCGCTGTCTCGCACGGCATCTACCATTGCCGATTTTCATATGTCGTGATTATCGGCTTTGGCTTTCATTTCCGCCGTTCTTGTATTCATGCTAATACCGACCTACAGATGCCCAGAGGCCTTCTTTCCGCCTGGTTTCAGAGATTCAACAACTATGAAGCACCTCTCGACCTCCTCGGTACTCACAATGCCACCGAGACCCTAGACGCCTGGACCGCATCTGGTGTGGTCAGGGTCTTGGTGGGCGAGGACCGAACGGTGTTCCCGCCCCGTCTCCGTCTCCGGATTGTGGAGCACGAGGACTGGCGCCTGTGGTCCGTGCAGACAAAACGGTTCAACTGGCACGTCGCTGACGCTGGCCCGCCGCCGCCGTTCATCAACCAGACCCTTGCCGCCGAGATTTACACGGGCGCGTTGGAGCACATTCATTACCGAGTCACGGACGCCACTCGGCAGCAGATCTCGCTTCTTCCCACTAACGAGATCCTCGACCTTCCTTTGGACGGTGACGCTGTTTTTCACTGCGACTACTCTTTTCTTGGAGATCCCTACGACGTCGCACCCGTGCGCAGCTTTGCCGAGCTCGAAGAGAGTGAGGAAGACGACGACGACGAGCCTGAGGCCGACGCCGACGCCGACGACTTCGAGAACGAGAGCTCTGACACGAAGAAGGACGACAGCTCCAGCACCAAGCAGGACGAGAGCCAGGCCCAGTTCAGCGAGGGAAAGGGCGGCTACGATAGCGACTACGACATTGGCGACGCTGACGAGAGCGACCTCGACGAGAGCGGCAGTGTCTACGGTGACGAGGGTAGCAGCATTGACGTTGACGAGGACGTCGACCAGGACGAGGCTTGCAAGGACAGCGCTGTCGATCACGAGAGCTACCACGGCGACCGCAACAACGCTTGCACCGACTTCTCCGAGGATCTCATCGAGTTCTCGAGCAGCAGCAACAGCTCCGACGACGACCCGTTCTACCTCGAGCGCCGCTACGCGACTGTCCTGATGGCTCCTTCCGGTCCCAAGGCCCAGCAGCAAGCTGCGGCATCGAACAATGCTTCCACAAACAGCTCGACCCCGGCGCCTGCCGCAGAGCCGCAGGTTCCCAAGGGACCTCACCCTGGCCACATCCAGGTGTCGTGCCAATACACCAGCGAGCAGCGCCTGCGCCGCATGCTGAGAGACAACAAGAGCGATCCGGCTAGGGAGGATAGCTACCGTCTTCAAGGAGTGCAGTTGATCGATAACGTCCGTAACGTGCTCCATGTGTACGTCGTCCTGTTTCTCCGTTTTGCTGGTTCAAGGCTAACCTTTCACAGCCCAGTCAAGACGTTCGATACCGCCTGTGTGTATTATCACTGGTTCCGCCTCTCTTT